ACACCCAGGTGCTGACCATGTGTACAGTGATGCTGTGTTTATGCCCAAAAATGTTCACAGGAAAAATGTTGGGGACAAACCTGTCTGTTCACTGGGATGTGCTGCTGGGAGCACTGGTGTGCACAGCAGCTGGTGGGAGGGACGTAGCAGAAAGAATGGATCCTTGTGTGACCAAGGATTAATTCTGGATTTACAAATTCACTGATGTGTACACCTCAAGCCTGAAAGCTCATCCTGGCACAAATCAGGCTGCTGTACCTGAGCAAGTCTGGTCAGAGGGTGGAAATGCCTGGGAGTTACAGTGCATGTAAGGATTTCTTTTGCTTCTCCCCAGAATGGCCATATCCAGCTAATAAAGGGGATGTGTACTTAATGCAAGTGGGTTTGTAACTGTGATTGGCACAGGGCTGGTGACTGCCTGGCCGTGGGCAGCATCCCACAGCCCCTGTCACAGTCCTGTGGGCTCCTTGCATCCACATCCTGGGACACACACTGGTCTGTCAGAGTAGTGCTGAGGGGCAGCTGTGAACAGAGCTCTAAGCTGGTTTTACCAGTGTGCTGAGCTGTCTGTGTCCACAGCTGGGGTTCAAATCCATGTGGCTGATTCTGGTTCTCATGCTTAACTCCCCCAAACAGGTCTGCCCTTGGTCCAGTTACCTCACTGGAGCATGTTCTCCGGACTTCACCAAACACCCCGTAATACAGTAAGACTTCTCAACTATGTGAAATCTCAAATAACCAGGATTTGGGTTGATGACAGCTGTTTTATTGCTTTACAAAGCTAAGACACATCTAATTATGTAGGACAATGTGGCACATCCATGTACCTTGGCACGGGAGAGCCCTGGTGCAGCTGGAGGGGTGTGGGGGTCCCCTGGGGAGGCTGTCCTGTCCCTCCTGCCCTGCTCTGAGCTATGGGGTGTGAGAAGCTAAACCCCAGCTACTCCTGGAAGGTCAGTGCAGAGCCATGGGGGGATTCTATTCTCCAGCAGTGCCAGCTGCAGAGACAGCCCTGATGTCTTTGCTTTTGCTGCATTTCAGCCTGAGAACTGCACAGTGTTCTGCCTAGCAGTTCAACCCAATTTCCTTACAGATTTAAGAAGGATTGTGCCAACTATTCTCTAAACACGGATGACCCCCTCATCTTCAACTCCACCATTGACACGGACTATGGCATTGTGAAGGAATACATGGGATTCACTGAAGAGGAGTTCAAGAGAGTTGTAAGTCAGCCTTGGCTGGGTGCTCTGCTGGTGTCTCAGTGAAGCCCAGAACAACCTGCTATTTTTTCTTTATATACTGAAAAACTTTTAATAGAAATCAGAAAATTCTGCTCTGGCCTTGTAAGTAGAAAAGTAGGACCAGGCTCAAAGTACATATCCCAAAAATTCCTGAGTATTTACAGACCTTTGCTTTGTGCTGGTCTCATTTCTCCTGGGACTGCTGCTAGTGATGGGCCAGAGCAGTTGGCATCAAAGAAGGCCATGGAAATGAATCTGAGTGTGGAAACTTTACACTCTCCCTCTCCTGTTGCTGCTCAGAGCCAGGTGCTGGGATGTGCACAACTGTGTGCTCCTGTCTGATGTGTGTTAATGTCCCTGTGTTCCCCCTCTGCCTCCTCAGAACATCAACGCAGCCCGGTCCAGCTTCTTACCTGAGCAGGAAAAGCAGGAGCTGCTCAGCGAGCTGTACGAAGCCTATGGGATGGTCCCCAACGCATCGTGACCGCCCTGGGAGCCAGCCTGGAGTAGGGCTCTCCTTCACCAGGGCCTGACTCTCCTCTGGCCAGTGGGAGCACTGGCAGGGGGTGCCCAGAGTCAGTCTCTGTTCCTGGCAGCCCTGTGTTGACCCCTCATCAGAATCAGACTATCACACACACCGACTTGTACCCCACAATCTCCCTCCTGAAAGGATATCCAGCTTCCTGTGCTGCTGCTCTGCAAGCAGACTGGATCTGCCTGCTGGCCTGACTCCCTTCTCCATCTGCTGGTGTTTCTGTACTGCAAATGCAAGCACAAGAACCTCCCTTACAGTTTCCCCCCCGCCCTTTCCCTGTTTTACCTGTCCTGTCCCACTGACCTGCCTGACCCTTCCCTGCAGTGCAGAAATAACCACTTTCAACTCTGGCTGTGGCCTGGGTTAATCTTCACCTTTCCAGGGAAGAGGTATGCTAGTGCTGGCAGGGAGTGAGCAGCCCTTTCAGACACAGAGGCTTTATTCTTGTCCCTGTGGGCGGGAGGGTCTGGTCACAGCTATATTTACCCAGGGTTAGTCTTGTACTAACAAGACTGGAACAAGAACAAGCTGCAAGCTGGCGCCCCTGCCTGTGCACAACTCTGAAGGGCATTTAAAACAAAACACAATTTTTTTTGGCATCATTTCTTGGAGAAGAGCTCCCATGTATCAGGCCTCCCAATGTCACTGCTGCAGAAGTGCACACCTTGGGCTCAGGCCCCAGATGTGCTCACAGCTGGCCATGACCATGCTCGCACTTGCAGAGGAAGTTGGAACATAATTTTACTACTTCAGGCCAAAATCTGCCTTCTGGGATTTTCCCCACTTTTTTACTCATCTTGGAGAACTCCTGTGAACTGCAGTTTCATCTTCCTCTTACCTTTGTTTAGGATTTGGAAAAAAATATGATTGATTGCCTGGTTTAACAATTCTGCCCTCTTTCTGATTTGACACAATCATTAGGCACTCTTAAGGCTGAATAAGTAAATTAACTTGGACCCAATGTCCCACATTGACTCAGGTCCCATCTGATTTCTTCTCTCACTCAATTATGACACTGGCTAAAAGTCAGATCTTCAGTTTGGTGTAGAACTTATACAGAGAAACTCACCAAAAATTCCTTAGTGATTTTATGGCATTATAGTGTTTTTACTCAATAAGCAATAGAGCTGTGCATCCAGAGATGAGACCATTGTTTTCTTACCTGAGTGTGTGGTGTGCTTTAGCATCCCAGGGCTCTGCCAAGATGCAAACTCCAAAGATACTGTACCAAAAAGTTGCCTTTGAAAAGGGGCCATGGTCACCATTGCCACAGACAGACCATGGACTTGTCCAGTCTCAGCCAGCAGTGATGGTCTGCTGGGAGTATTTCCATTCTTTCTGGGCTTCCATGTTGTTCTTCGGAGTAAAATACTCATTTCTGAAGTACGTGGTGCATATATACACATAGATAGATAAATGAAGATAAGAGAGTGATTTTCTTACTTTTATAAAGCAAAAGATAAAGTATCTCTTTTAAGGACATGATTGTGGTAAGAAACAGGTTTTGGGTCATTTTTCTCCGACAATTGTTTCTGAAGAAGAGTTGCTTGTTTTGATTCTGGACAGTTGATTGTTAATCCTGTTTAATAAAATAACAAATTTATATTAAAAAAGCAATCCTTGTGCCTTTTTATACAAGGGTGACTGTTGGGGATTATGGCCTCTGGTCCTCAACCCCTGCTGGAGCACAGGGGCTCGCTGATAGGTGTGATGGGAGCTTTGGTACCTTGATTGCTGCCTTCTCCTGTTGCCAGGTTGGAGCACTTTGGCAGCCAGAGGGAAGCCTGCTCCCTGGCCAAGCAGCCCAGTTGGATTTATGGATTTATGGCTGCAGGTTGTTCCAACCTCCCCTGTCCTTTTCCCTTCAGTAATCCAAGGGGTGTGTACCCCTGCTAGAGCAGCAATGCCATCACAGGGTACTCTCACCTCTCCAGGTGTTTATCCAAAGTAGTCACTTTTTTCCCTGTCTCCTGGGTTTTGCACAGTTGGTTGATGCTCAGAGCCAAAGAGGGGCAGTCTGGGCTGCTGGGCTACACTGTCAGTGTGGGCAGGGGAGTGTTTGCCCAAAGGTTTTTGGGTAACTTAGTGCTTGGTTAGGCTTTGACAGGTCTGGCATGCCCGTGTTCAGCTGCAAAGAAGGGCGGGGAGCATCCTTGTGCTCAGCAGCTTTGCAGATGAGGATGTGGCTGGACTGAGGCAGTGCCCTTGGTCTTTCTGCACAGTCAGTGACAGTGGCTGAGCTGGCTGTCCCTTGCAGGGGGAACCCGATGCCTCTCACCCATCCCCTGAGAGAAGCTGGCCAGCAGGCCCCTACTCCTCTGCCTAAATATAATTCTGAAACAGATATTTTCTGACCAGGGAGAGCTAAGATTAGCCCACATTTGACTGTTGGAGGTCTGTGTGGTGCTCAGTCCTGCACTGCCTTTCAGTGTGTGTCAGCATGAGCCAAAATTACTGTTCTGTGGTAAGGAGAGCTGGAAATGGGGCTTAAAGACACAACTGTGCAGTTAGCCAGGTCCAGCAGCTACCTGCTGGTTTGCCCCTGGGCATGGAAGTGGGAGCAGGCTCTTGGCTGCTATCCAGGCATGGCTCTGCAATGACACCCAGCCAGTCCAGGAGCCCTTTGCCAAAGCAGCAGCCACGGCCACTGCCTGGCTGCCAAATCCTCATGTCCTGTGGGGGCTGGAGCTGTGGACCCCTCTGTGCTCACCCATAGCCATCACTTCTCACAGACAATTCTCCCTCTGTCTGGCAGCCACTTCTCTGCTGATTTATGGCCTTGTTTTGGCTGATAAATCTCAAACTTGTAACATTCAGTTCTTCTCCAGGGTGTCAGGGAGATGATTTGTCACCAGTGGAGAGTTTCCCAGGTCAGCTCTGCCCTGTCCCTGTGCTGGTGGTCAGTCCCAGTCAGGCTGCTCCACTGGGAGCAGTGGAAGACCAGCAGTGCTCTGTAGTTCTGTGCTGCAAGGGAAAGCACCTCTTCCCACTGGTACCAATCCTGCTGGCTCCTGGGAGTAAACCTGGGAAAGTGGGGGCAGATTTTTATAATCTGTGCCCAACAATATCTGCCTCCATCTGTGTGCTGCAAACCCATGAGGCTTCACGGACCCAAACTCAGGGGACACTTCTTGCACAGCTCCATGTTTCCCTATGAAACCACCCTGCATCAGAAGGCAAAACAAAGGAAGAAGAAACATCCAGGCAGAAAAAAACACCTTCAGTACTTGAAGGCTGTCATTTATTCCAACAGCTTATGTAGTTTTATCAAACCATCTTTAACACAAAAATGTCTCCTTAAAGACAGAAGGGTGTGAGATCCTACCAGAGATCATCTCAGCTAACAGCTTGCAAAGTTAAGCCTGAATGTCAACAGTCAAACCACCAAAATGTTTCTCCCCTCCCCTTAATAACATCTTGAAGTGTTAAAACCTGAAGAAAAAGATGCTTGTGGCTGGTGCTGCTGGGTCTCCAGGTGGGGCTCATCCCCACAGAGCTGTGCTTTGGTCCTTTCCTGATGCTAAGCAGCAGCAGCACAGGCGAGTGGTGGTGACATGAGGGCAGCAGGACAGCTTGGGTCCTTTCCCCACTGCCCACCCTGACAAGGGGCCATGTGGACAATCCAGAGGCCAGGTGTAAGATGCAGATGAGGGTGAGGCTTAGAAAAACCATCAACCTAAATTTCTACCCTATAGAAACAGAATAAATAATAGTCTAAATCTGCAAAGGAGGAAGGTACCTTGGACAGAAAAATCTGGTGTGTCTATTATTACTGAAACTGTTTTTCCCCTAAGAGAAAATTGCAGCTAAGGCATCTCAAGAATGGCTCATATCACTACAACCATGGCAGTGTTGCCCTAGACCATTAGGGATGGGGGCAGAAGTCTTTAGGAGGTGCAAGTCCTTGCAAGTGTCCTGTGTCTCTCTACACAAGCACGGTTCCAGCAAGGCATGTGACAGACGACTTGCTGTTCCAGGTTGGCTTTTGTTCACAGATGCAACAAATTCTTGTTGAATGTTCTCAGCAAGGCCCTCCTCCTGCCCATCCCACACCCTTTTTGCTCTCATGGGGAGGGGCTGCTTTCTTGCCCCTTTGGTCTTGCTCCAGGGTCACTGTCAGAAGAACTGGCATCTCTTTGGCTTTCTGCAGAAGGGAGGATTGGGAAGAAAACACAGTTACACCCTGCTGAAGATACAAGCCACAGTGATTGCTATAGCTGATTTCATCCACAGAGAAAAAAGATTTTTGCCTGAAGATCTATCACTCCCCTCCTGTGACCAGATATTTGGCCCCATCCATGGGAGTGCTGAAGGCCAGGACAGGTCTCGTGGAAGGTGTCCCTGCCCATGGCAGGTGGTCTTTAAGGTCCCTTCCAAACCAAACCATTTTCTATGATTCTGTGATTAAGAGTACTGGGTTCTCCCTCCACATTCCAGGAGCACAAACACCTCTGAACACACTTGGCAATGCTGAGAGGGAGCCTCAAGGTAGGGATGTGCCCTCAGCCAACTTTTGAGTGCTCCAGAACTGTCTTCCTGACAGCCTGGCAGCTGTCTGAGCTGCTCTGGTAAAACAGCTGCAGTTTGTGCTTACTGTGGATGGGTGGATGGACACATGCTGGTATGGTCGTGCTGAATGAACTACAGTTGGGGTAATGAATATATTTTAAAGTGTTTTTATAGTTACAGGTTGTAGGCTAGGGGATTAAGAAAGTAAGGGGGGAAACTGAGTTTCCCTTCTGCAGTGATAGTCTATGTTTTGTTGCTTATTAGTGAAATGAGAGTGTCAGCTTTGGACAGAGGATTCAAGCTCCTCACAGCCAGCTGGCCACCAGACATAAGCAGGGTGATGCTGCTGCCCTATTGGGGCTGAAGGGGAGGATTTGGAGATGGCTGCTGGAGTGAAAGTTATTTCTGTTGTTATTTGAAATACTGGGGTGAAATACTTGAAGATTGATTTTTTCACAACCAACCAAAATAGAAGAAACAAATCCCAGCCTGCCCAATGCATGATTTCTAGAAAGCCCAAGGTATAACTGATGTGTAACTTGCTCTGGGAAGGGTCTTGGTTAGTGCATGCCTTGTTTAAGCACCAGTGAGCAAAGAGCCTGGGCTGGAGTGTGCAGTGCTCCTGTGCCAGGAACCAGGGATCCTTCTGCTCACTGCAAGCACCCCTTGACCTGGAGAGCCTCCCACCACCACATGAGCATGAAGGCACTGAGTGAGCAGCGAGGAACAGGATATTCCTCCTGAGCATCAGCGTGATGCTCCTGGAGACAGCACTGCCCATTTGTGCTGCCATTTTGTGCCTGCCCTCCCTGGCTGTGCCAGGAGCTGCTGTGCCAGGAGCTGCTGCTCACAGGAGTGTGCGTGTGGCAGCTCACCTGCTCCTTCAACAGCGAGGTCACCCATGTCCTCGGTCAGCTTGCGCATGCTGATGGTGGTTGCCTCTCGCTGGATGTCATGGACAGCGTTCCTCCGGCCAGCCCGGTCGCAGGAGATGAAGTCGCTGTAGGTGCTGGACTCTACCTCCATTGCATCTCTATTCACGTGAAAAATGCTGTGGAGAAAACACAGCTGTGAGGCCCAGGGTGCTCAGCAGGGCTCTCTCCAGGTTAGGTTACTCTGTGGGGTAACATTACAGCATGAGAGAACAGTCCCTGTAACGCTGCTCCAGCTCCTCTGACAGCAGGCACTGAAATGTCAGATATCACCTCCCTCATGTGGGGCAATGTGTGGGGAAACCCACCATGCTGGGTGACCCACTGTGCAGGAAGGATCCATCCCAGATGCCTGGCTTGTTCTGCCTTCCCTCTGCAAAGGCAGACACGGAGTTTGTCTCTCCATTGAGTGTCCAGCCTTCTCCGCCAGGCACACAGGGTCACTTGCAGCAGCTTTTCCCTCCAGAAAAAGCATTACAGAGAAAGCCCTGCTTCCTCCTCTAAATGCCACGGGAGCTTTTGAACACAGGCCAAATTTGGCCCACTGCTTGGGGGATGGGGTGGTGATCCAACCTGAATGTGTAATGGGAAATGATGGATACCCACTGGGAAGCTGGGGGAGCAGGGAGTATTTTATAGGTACAGGGCCCGGAGCAGTACTGGCCTCCACTGGCTGCTGGATGTCACTGAAGAAGCGCTGGGCTGGATTGCTGTGAGATAAACACTTTACCATGTGAAAATCAGCCCTTCTGCAAGACATTTGGATCCCTTCACTCCAGACTTGTGCCAGTGCCAAGTGCACAGCAGGAAGAAAGGCCTGGAGCGGCCACTTGTCACATGCAAGCTCCGCTGTGAGCCAGCTCTGAGTGCAGCTGATGAATCCTTAAGTTGCTGGGTTTTCAATTTGGCTGCTGGTTTCCCTTGCCAGTCTTGCAGAGCACACAAAGTGCAGGGACCTGGGGATGGTGGTGTGGGTATCCTGGCTCTTGGGCACAGAGCTGGCAAGCACACACTGCTCCTGCATGGGAAACCTGGAGCTCTCAGTTCCTGCCCCTGTTTGGCACTTAGCTTGTTTCACTGTGTGGAATCAAGAAATTAATTGCTGTCTTATCTGTGCCTCTGATCATGTAAAATGTGCCTCTGGCCCTGCTGATTGCTGGCAGTGCTTGGAGCAGGCCCCCATTAGAAACGCTCGTGGGCAGTGAAAACAAATTCATGCACATTTAATGCACATTCACTTGCTTTTGTGCCTTGGAGTTAATGACCCATAGAGGAGTTTGCTCAGCTTCCTTTACAAATCCTGCTTGATATTGATTTTTCCCGGCCAGGGAAATCTGTTGGCAGATTCAGGCACCAGCCTGAACAGGAATAACATTCCTCACTTTAATCCCTGATGTAATGGCAATAGAAAGGATGTGCAGGTGAAGATGCAATGACTGGGATGAAAGAGGTTAGAGTGTCTCTGTCCCTGAGCTGAGTAGGGTGCAGTAACCAAAAACCCATGGAAACCCAGCATGTTTTGGTAGCCCCAGGGACTCCCCTCCTAGAGTGGATGCCAGCTCAGGGAGTGCTGGCCCCAGCTCACTGCTGGGATGTGGGGCTTGGCCCACCCAGATCTTACAGGAGATCCTGTTTCCCTGAAGCTAAAAATTTTTATGAACATCTGCCTCCTCTACAGACTTGGCATCCATCTAGCTCCTGTTAAATGAGCCTGGGAAAAGCTGCATCCTTTGCCCCAGGAAGAGATGCCCCAGATGTTTTTCCTCATCTTCCCTCCTTCCATCCTGGTGTGCCCTTCCCTGTCACAGGGACATTCTTTTTTCTTCCAGGATTTTTCATAGAGCAGCACAGAGGAAAGAAAGAGAAAACAATTTCTATTTCTGCTCCTTCTTTTTCCTCATGTGGAATGTGTTTGGAGAATTGCTTAGCTGGGGTGATTGCTTGATTGGATTCTGGTGAGGATTGTTTGAGCCTGATGGCCAATCCAACCCACCTGGGTCTAGACTCTTGCAAAGAGGGTCATGAGTTGGGAGTTAGATATGGTAGTTAGAAAAAGTAGGTATGTAGTTCTAGTATGTCCTTTAAATAGTATATTAATGTATTATAGTATAGTTATAATAAAGAAATCATTCAGCCTTCTGAACTGGAGTTAAACACCATCATTTCTTCCCACTGGGTTCGCCTACATTTACAATACTTCCCAGGACAGGGCACCTATTCTGGATGCAGCTCAGTGAGCAAAGTGCCTTTTCCCCAGGACAGGACAAGCCCCCAGCATTCCCAGACAGGTCCTCACAGACTCTGCTGACCTCCTACAGCTGCCAGAGAGAGCCCACATGGACTCGGGAGGCTTCCCTAGAAGCGAGCTGGACAAGCCTGGGTCCATCTCCAAGCAGTGAGGCCATTCCAGAGCTGATGTGCTCCAATTCCTGCTGCCTTGTACCAGGGCAGGACCCCCAGGTTTCCCCAGCTGGGGAGCCCCAGGGATGCAGCATTTTCCCGGTGTCCCTGGATGTAGTGGCAGTGCTGTGCCAATAATTGTATCCTCTCACATGGGAACAGGATGGGATCCTGATGAAAAACAGGATGGGATCCTGATGAAAAGCAGGAGGCAGCAAGTGTGCAGCTCTGGGTCCCGACTCGCTGGCCGGGAGATGGCGCATGGGATTTATTTATTTCCGTGGCTGGCAGGGTTCCTACCTTCGGCCCTCCATGCAAAGAGCTGGAGACAGGCACATTTAACAGCGAAACTTTCATATTTGAACAATTCCTCCGGGATTTTCGAGGTGGGTGGCTCTCAAAACCCTTGCAGGTAGATCTCTCCCCGCTGGCAGAGAAATTCCAGCCCCCGCCTCCGGGAAGTTATTGGGCTGAGAGGGTGATGGGAGCAGTTTCCTCAATTGTGATAGGAAAACCTGATTTTTAAAACAGCATGTCCAGACTTCCAGGCACAGAACCCACAGTTCTGTGGGTTTTCACTCAGTAACTGCTTCTAACATCTTTCAGGACCTGCAAAGGAACTACCTTCCCTTTTGCCTACAAAGTTCAGTGGAACCTGAAATTGTGTCACTGTGGACAGTCACTCGGGGTGGCAGGGGGTGCAAAGAGAGGTGCATCACCTGCTGGCTCCCCACTTTTGGTTTTTCACTCTCCCATGGAAAGGAAGGTGCCTGTTATTGCCAGGCACTGCAGGAATAACCCCGTGGCACACATATACAAGATGCAAAGGTTTGCAGGGCTCTTCACAGAGGTGATTCAGCTTGTCCCCAGAGGGTCCTTTCCTGCCCTCCCTTTCCTCTCTGCCGCTGGTGGGAACAGAAACAGTTCCTGTGCCCTCAGCACAGCGTGCCAGCCTGCAGGGATGGGGCAGGGAAACTGGGATCTGCTGCCTGTTGCACATCCCTCAAAAGTTTGCTGCTCGGAGGGAGGCTGTGTCCCCTCTGCCATGGGGACATGGTGGTGCCTGTCCTGGGGCAGCTGGCCACAAGTGTAGAAGCCCCTCACAAGCTGCCACTGACACCAGGTATGTCCCCAGAGCTGCCTCTGCTCCTGTGCCTGGATCTGCCAAGCCTGCTGCTTGGTTTGGACTTATTTTTCTATGGTGTCTTGTGAGTACTAAAAAATCTGAGCTGTAATAGTCTTGGTTTTGCTGGGGGGGACTTGGCTTCCTGAGTGGTTTTGCTGTTGGATTGCAACTGGGCTTGCTGGCATTTTCCAGGGAAATCACCCAGCAGCTGACAGAGCAGCTGGCTCAGCTGTAGCTAAACCACTCCTAGTCATTCTGGGGCTGAATTTTGCTCATTTAGAAGGTGGGTGCTAAGAAATTAAAGGGTTAAATGTTTCTTCTGCCTTCTGGTAGAATAATCTGGGGCATTTCTTTTGGCTCAGCTCCATGTCCCATTGGGTTCCACTGACAAGCCTGAATTTAATTCCTGTGTGCCCCTTGCCTGCTTCTCAGCATGGATGCCAGGGACTGCAGCAAACAAGGTCAGGGTGGCAGAGAAGTGACCTGGGCACACCTGGCAGGTCACCCTCAGCCTGGGGGGCTCTGCCATCCCAGCAGTGTCCGGGGCTGATCCCTGGGATCAGGTGAATGCTACAGTCACACCCAACACTGACTCCAGTTTCAAGGAACCCCTTCACACGATACTGCATCTGTCCCTTGTCTAGGTTCAACCTCTTGTGGCTAGGAAGGGCTATTTTTGGGTGCTGGTGCTGGCTATCAGCAGGCTGGGCTGAGCTCAGCCATTTCCCCCCTGCCTGCTTTGTGCCTCCTGCTCTGCCCCTTCACCTCTCACCCTTCTCAGCGTTCTCTCCTTGTTCTCTGCACAATCTGTGAGCCATGGGGCAGCTTAGGCCCTGCTGGGACATCCTTGTCCCTTGGGGCAGCCAGCAGAGCCCTGCCCTGCGTGCTGTCCCTGGGACACCTGAGGCAGGAGCCCTGTCCCTCGTCCCTCCCTGTGCCTGCTGCAGGCGGTTCCCAGCTTCAGGAGCCCTGGCACAGCCCCGTTCTGAGATGCTGCAGCCCAGCTTTGGCCTCCTGCTGTCCATTGCCAGTGGCAGCTGGGAGCAAGAGCTGCAGGTTTTGGTTGGAGATGGCTCCCTCATCCCACAGCCCAGCCCAGGACACGCTCTCCCTCCTGCCTGGTGGATTTATCACACTCCAGGCTTCTGGAGTTTTAAAGCTCTGAAGCTGAACAAAACCTTGCTGAGTTTCTGGGGGGAAATTCCAAAGTTCTGCTTGGGAATAGGGATCTGACCCCTTTTTCTGCTCAAGCATCACATCCCACCACCAAGGCATGAAGTGGTGCAGTCGCCTTGGAGCTCTGCACATTGTGCAGTGCCCCTTGCCCTTTCATTCCAGGGTACAGGGACTATTATTAGACCTCTCCTGCTGGGGCTGGATCCATAACAACAGCAAAACATACTCAAGAGCCCTGCTGGGCTTTTAAAATATTTACAGTGTAGGATAGTTTACTAAAGAGGGGGGCCTGGTAGAGCACAAAGACGGAAGCACCGGGATTTCTGTGCTCCCTGTGGGTTTGCTGTGAGGTTTCCTGCTGGGAGAGTCACATCCAGCGAGGAGAAAAAAATATCCCATAGGGCTGAAGCCAGCACTTGAGGTCAGGGGGTTTCCACCAACTGTCTGACAATAACCAGCTGGAATTTCAGCAAATTTTCCACTGGGTCTTGTCTGGGAACATGCATGAGGGGCTGTACATCAAAGAGGAAGGGCTCTGTAATGATGTTATTGGGGTATTTTGTGACTGTGCTCTAAAGGCCTTGTTATGTCTCATGATCCCCATGCACTAGACTCAGATCCATGACCAGAAACTGAGCTGAAGATGCAGCTGAGGATGAAGATGCTCCTGTTGGGAGCCCAGTCTGGCTGCAACAAGCTGTGTAAGGCTGGTGTAAGGCAAGAACAGCACAGAAAAGCCTCAACAGACTTGAGTGATAAAGAGACATCGAGTTGGGTCCAGCACATCTGTATTTATGGAAGGTTTTTGCTGTGGGATTCCTTGTAATAACTCTGCACCCTCAGGCTCTTACACTAAATATGATTAATTCAGCCAGGACAGACATCACAGCTGCTCCAGCCACTGCAATGGTTTTGCAGGAACAGAGCTTCCAGCATTCTTTAGAACTTGCTGGAAAATTTTAATTCCTTCAGGAGGAGAGCAGATACAGCTGAGGTTCAGTGTCCACAAATAGATCCCTTTTCATTTGGCCTGGTTTTACAGTATAAAGATCATTTAATGCCTGTAGAACTGATAACCAATTGCTAAGCCCCGTGTTTAAGATTAGGCTTAGACTGACTCTTCTATGACTTCACAAACTTTGTATTTAGCTCTGCCAAGCTCCCCAGACTCCTTCCCCTCCCTCCTGGCCTTCAGCACATCCCCACAGCCCCCCACTGCAGAGTCCTCACTGTCCCAAGGCACCTCCTGCTGTCCCATGTCCTCACAGCCACTGCCTGACTTCCTACTGACATAAGAAATGGTTCAGCTGGATTTCGGAATCACAGCTGACCCTTGGCATGGGGCAGGGCGAGTCCTTGTGTGCTCTGCTCTGATCCCCAGGGGAGAGGGGAGCTTCAGGGAGGTAGGAGGACAATGCTCAGCCCCAGTGGCCTCCTGTTAGCATTAGGATGTGTGGGTGATGGTGGGAGAGAGCTGCCTGTCCATCCATGCATCCATCCATCCATCCATCCATGCATCCATCCATCCATCCATCCATGCATCCATGCATCCATCCATCCATCCATCCATCCATCCATCCATCCATCCATCCATCCATCCATCCATCCATCCATCCACGCACCCACCAGGAAGGCAGCCCAGTGCCCAGCTCTGGCCATGCAGTGCTGCCAGCCTGCATCCCCATGCCTGCAGCAGGCAGCATCCCTCTGTCAGTGCCCCCAAGGCACGGGGGCTGAGAATCTGTTCCAAAAATCTTCCACCACGGGAAGAATCACTGATGGAGCCCCCCTGCTCCTCCCTCCCCTCACTACCAAGCCTTGATGAAGCTTAAGCCTCTTCTGCAGCTTCTAGCTAAGTTGATTAATGGAAATAATTGGTCTCTCTGTGCATCTGGAGACAGTTGCCGTGACAGCAGTTGTATTTTTGTTTTGTTCCCAGGTCGAGCTTGTTTTTCCCATCTCTCAGTTTCAAGGTGCTAATGAATCTGGGCACTCTGGTTTACCCCGCTCCAAAAGGCACCCATGCCTCTGAGGGGTGGGTGGCAGTGGGGATAAGGATGCTGAGCTCCTGCAGGCCTTTAGCACATGCAGGCTGGCACCTTTCTCCCTGCCCACCTTCACCCCCTCGAGGCAGGCCTGCACTGGATGGACACAGTGCTGAGGCTTTGGCATGGCAGAGAGAAGAGAGCCAAATTCCTCCTGCTCACCCTGAGCAGCCATGAGCACCCACAGGACCCTCTGGGCCCTGCAGGGACCCTCTCAGAGCTCTAAGGAGTCTTTGAGTCCCTTCTGCATTACTTTTTATTTTCTCACAATTTCTTACTTATTTGCCTTTATATGTCAACATATTTTTACACAAACAGTTGTGTGGAAGATCTGCTGGTGCCTGAAGCTACAAAGCAGACAAACCACAGAGCAGTGGCCCTTCAGCTGCAGAAGTGCCACAGCTGCTGTGGCAGGCAGGCCCCATGTATCCTCCCCTTGTGATATGCAGCCACCCTGTCACACCCAGGCCGTGGGGTGAATTCCTGTGCAATGGGGATCCCCTTCGGGCTTGGCTTCCCTGCCTTCCTCCAGCCTGTTCATGAAGGAAAGTCCCAGCTGGATTCCACCTGAAAGGCTGGAGAATCCCCAGCAGTCCCCCAGCTCAGAAGTGCTGATCACACTGGGGCACCGACCTCTGAGTGAACATCACCTTCTAAAACCCCACTTGAATTCCTGGCCCAGGGATGCTCGACCCCAGCACAAGCTCCCCAATACCTTGCAGGCTTCCCTGGGTAAGGAGAAGTCAAACAAGTGCTGAGGAGATGCAGCTGGGGCTATTTTCTAGCACAGCTGCCCTTGTCACAAAAAGAGGAAGGCAAAGCCACAGCAGCCTTTGAGGGTGTAGCTCTGTTTCTGGGTTGAAGGAGATCTCTCTACAGGACAGAACTAAGCAAAGATGAGCTCTTGTTTTTCTGCCTGAAACGAAGCATAGCCATGTAGTCCAGCTCTCCTCTGTGATGTGAGCTCTGCTGCTGAGGGAAGCAGGGCTTGCATGACTGGGGAGGGAAGCTGAGCTTGGGAGAGGAGCTGTGAGGGCTGTAACTGGGCAGGTTTGGCTGTGCTGCCTGGGGAAGTTCTGCTCAGCACAGGGTGCCTGAAGCTGAGCCACCTGCCTTGGCTCTGCCTCAGTGAGGCTTGCACAATCCCGCAGGAATTTGCATCCAGCATCCAAAGAGTCCTCCTGACTCAGAGCAGTGTAAGGGGCTGAGAGAAAGGCTGTGGAGCTTCCTGGGGTGCGAGCCCTGGCAGCTCCCAGGGGGCTAAAAATAACCAGGGCACCTCTTAAGAGTGTCAGTACAGAGTGAAGCTGATTAGCAAAACCAGGCTTAGCTCTGCTCCCTGGAGCTGGCTGCCCTGTGTGTCTGCTCCACTGCAGAGAAAGCACTGCTGGGACCTGGGGCAGGGCAGTGCTGGCTGCCAAAGGGAGATGGGGGAGATCTGTCTTTGGTGGCTGGGATGGTGCTATTGGTGTTTGCCATACAACAAAAGAGTGTTGGGGTTCAGAAGAGGCTGGCAGTGAGGGGTGGCTGAGGCTCCAGGTGGTTCCATGGCTTCTGTTGCCCAAGGGAATCAGGAGCCCCTCTGGCTGTGCTGCCCTGCTGGGACCCCTGTGTGGGCAGGGGAAGCTCTGCAGACCTGCACACCTCCTCTGCTGAAGATTCCAGTGACAAATGCAACGTTTCCTTATAGCTGTGCCAGGTGACAGCAGCTCCCAATCCTTCCTGCACAGGGTAAATCTCTCTGCCTGAGTCCCCAGGGATGTGGCATCCAAACCTGAGCTGAAGTCTCAGGAAAGGGAAAGCTCCCAATAAAATCAATTGCCAAGTAGTGCAGCACAGCAGGGGACACACCTGTGTCCTTCCCTAGCACACGTAGGGAAGGTGCTGGGTGCCAGAGATGAACTGCTCGGAGACACCTGCAGGAGGGATGTCTGTGTGCACCCAAGAGTGCTGAGATCCTGCACTGCAGAGCTCACCCAAAACGGCCCTGGGAGCTCTGTGCAAGGGCCAGCACAGCACAGGACAAGGGAAAACAGTGATCTGAGGACAGAGGGGATGCTCTGAGTGCAGGAGCCACAGGTGAAACCACAGAGAGGACTTGCCATCTATGCAGGAAAGGTTAAACTTTGGGGGTTCCCTGGATCTTTCTGGGTTGACTCCACATGCAGAACAGAACTCATTTACATCCTTCTGGACAGGCAAAGAACATTCCCCTGCAGAGCATGTGGGCAGCCTTTAGCAGGATTAGCACAGCACATCCCCATGGCTGGCAGGGAGAGGCCATGGAGCACAACTGGCACTGGGGCTGCTTGGGGTCGGAGCTGCAATGTGGCTTGGTACAAGGACATGGCTGTGAGGTGTGGATAATACAGCAGGAAAGTCATTAAGGCAGATTTGTTGTATTTTTTTCCTCTTAGCAGCTTTCTAACATATAGTAATTCAGAATACAGAGAGAGGTCAAGTGACTCAATGCTACAGGAAGGAAAAAACCCATTTCTGTTTGCAATATTTCCCTGTGGATAAAAGCTTTATGAGCCATAGTGTGAGTCCCTACCTGATCTAGAGGACTTTCCTTCTGGACATGACTTCAAACACGCTTCATGCACAGCAGGACAACAGCTTCTGGGAAAGAAGAAGAAGAAAAAAATAAGAAAACATTATCTGTGCTTGTTTTGGAAAGCATAAAGCTCAGCTGTTCTTCCCACTCTCTGTGACAGGATAGCAGAGGGGTGGCAGGGCTCTGCCCAACAGACTCAGATGGAGCCTCGCTCGGTGGACACACCAGCCCAGGGGCTGTGGGATGTTGTGTTCATATGGCAGCTCCTCAGGAGGGTTTGTGCTAATAGACTTGGACTGTTGTGTTAAAGCACATGGAAAGTCCAGCACAGAAAATTCCTCTTTGGTTTTGCTTCTTTCTTTGCCCTCCCACAGGTGCTGGGAGCACTGAGACAGCTCATGTCCTGACCTGCACTGCAGGGACCAGCAGCTGCCTCCAGACTATAAATGAATATTGGTTTGCAGCTCTGCTGCCCTTTAGAGAAGGGAAACTCCCATATCAGCTTCTCTGGGTTGAAAGGGGAAGTTTAATCTGGTTCTGGTCGCTTTGCTGGGTCTGTGTCCAGCTCTTTGGGTCTCTGCTGTTTGTGCACAGCTGAGCCTCCTCCTGCTGTCCCCAGGCCCTGCTCAAAGACATTTCCTCTGTGGCCTCAACATCTGTGGGTGCTTTGCAATCCCCTGACCTGCAGAGCCCAGCCAACAGGACACTTGCTTATTTTAGCAGCTGTTTCAGCTTTCCAACTATTTTGGAACATCATGGACTGTGTTTTTCTCTTTGTCCCAGGGACAAATGTTAGCAGAACAGAAATCAAGAGATGAGCCACTTAGCCATATAAGCAGTAGCTCATCCAGCAATTCATCTGTCTGGTCCATCTGGGCTGAGTACCACTCTAACTGGAACTATTTCCCATCATTTTCCAAACTGGGACAGATCTACAGCCTTTCTCTTTATTTTTTTGACCCACTTTCGAAACTTTGTAGTTGGAGCTGACTACTTGCTGGCTCTGGCCCTGCTTCAAGGACAGGGCACTTGCTGCTTTTATGTGTCAGTTTGCCCATCTGTTAAATTGAGCTATTAATACTCCCTCCCCCTGTTAGATGCTTCAAATATTTTAAAGCACTTTCAGCTCTGCAGATGACAGGCTTGCAGAAGTGGAAAATGCTAATTATGATCATGACAGGAGCTAAACAAAGACACAGGGATTTAACAATAAACTTTTGTTAGTCTTAACCCCATTTATAGCAAAGTGCTTACTGGAAACACTGCACCGGAAAAGAAACAGTATTCCCACAACTCTGGGAATATGCATTGCCCTTTTCGGGCACCAAACAAGCAAACAAAAGCAGGAAGGAAGAAACATAGCTTTGGAAATCCACAAGTCTTTATTTTCCTTCTTTGCCTTCCTGCCCTGGCTTGCGTGTTACACTGCCCAAACAGTTAAGCCTCCAGCACTTCAGCAGTGTTGCAAAATATCTCAAAACACGTGAAACTCTGCCAAGAGAGGCTTAAAGTAAACTGGAGCAGCGATGCTCTGAAGTGGAAGTTATCACTGAGAGCACTGTTTGTGATGGGACATGATGGGAAACCCCTATTTTCTCTCTTAAAAACCAGCTGATTTTGGAGACAAAAAAAAAAAAAAAAAAAAAAAAAAAAAAAAAAATCCAGCAGCTGGTATTGGCTTTCTAACCCTGTAGGCCTGGCTCTACCTATATGTTCCTCCCCACAGCCCTTGCTTGGGCATCTGGAGTCTGCAGATTTGAAGCTGAGCCCCTTGCTCCATCCCCAAAGGCTCATCCTCTTCTGGCTCACCTGGTCCTGCAGCTCCCAGGGTGATGGGCAGAGCTCCAGAGGCCCCTCAGCACAAAGGCCAGGCTGTTTGGAACTTTAATGGTGGCACATGGATTGGCTACAGTGAATTGTTAAAGAACACTTTGTTTTGTATTTTAGTCCTGGAACACATCAAGGTACCATGGATTATTTTAAGACCCTAATGGAAATGTTCACTGGCTAGATAGCATCCATACCCCATCAGAAATTAATTACAAGGGCACCAGCACAGAATTATAGAATAATTTAGATTGAAAAAGATTTTAAAGTCATCAAGTCCACCACTAAGGCATGTCCCTAAGTGCCACATCCACAGATCTTTTTAATAACTCCCGGGATAGTGATTCCACTGCTTCCCTGGGCAACCTGTTTCAGTGTTTGACAACCCTTTTGGTGAAGAAATGTTTCCTGATATTCAACCTAAACCATCCCTGGTGCAACTTAAGACTGTTTTCTCTCGTCCTATTCAATGTGCAGGACTGCACATGTTTGAGGTTCAGATTCCCTCTGTGGTCATAAGCTGTTACCCAAAACAAGCAAACATATGAAACAACCTTAGTTCTCTCAGCATTGCTTCAAAATGAATTCACATCCCAAAAAAAACACACCCCAGAATGTTTTTTTGGCAGAATTCAAGACTATTCTACACAACAGCTGCTGTGGTGCTGCTTTGATCCAGAGAGGAAATCCTTCCTGGTTTCAAGCAAGGTGACAGCAGCAGAGGGAAGGTTGTTCTTGTGTCTCCTGGCTGCTGGGTAAACAACAGGCTGCATGCACGGCTGAGCAGGGCAGCAGCCTGGTCCTCCCAGAGCAGCCTGGCTGCCTCATTTAGTGCCCTGTCTCCAGCAGCAGCTGGCATCCTCAGCTTCAGAGTACAAGAAAACCTCTAATTGTAATGGAATGCCTTTCATAAGTCACTAATGACTCTGAACCAGGAGGTGTTACAATCCTTAAAATGCAATATCCTCTTAATCATACCCAGGATTGTTTTGTTACCGAGATAACTACCTGATATCCATTAAAATGCCTTCGGAGGCTTTGCTCCACCGGTATCTCATGGCAATGAGCACCACAGCTTAATTACACTTTGTGGGAACAGTAACTCCAGTAAAGTTGGTGACACTTTGGTGGGGATATGTTTGGCTTATTACATCACTGCAAATATCAACAGAAATGGCATTTCGGTGCCGCCGGGAGTTCCCCAGGCAGGGTTTGTTACCAGCAAAGTGCCTGCATGGAGGAGCTGTGCAAAGAGCACCCGGCCTGTCCGGGCTCCCCTGGGAGGGGAAGTGCTGGGGAACTCGCTGTGGAAACCAGAAATGAGTGGTGTAAAGTACATATTCCCTTAGGCTTGAAGAGAGTGAGAGTTTTGAAGCGCGGCCCAGGGCAGTTCATAGTCCAACTGCTGCTCTTCCTGCTTGTGCTGCAGGCTCCAGGCAAGGTCTGGAGCCAACTCAACCTCTCTCATTGCCACCATGAGGAGCCTGGGACAAGGCCCATGAACACGTGAACCTTCCCTTCTCCCTGGCTGGTGCTGGCTGCTGGCAAGCCAGGGGAGCAGTTTCCCTTATGACTTCTCTTTTTCTAGTCATGAGCAGAATACAACTAGAAGCAGTGGGCTTTTCCCCCTCATCCTCTCTGAAGTGGGTATTGTGATGGAAAACTTATTTCCTAGTTCAGTCCATATAAACACCTTTGGTAACATTAAAGATGTCACATTCCCTAAGGATGTGGAATGTGAGAATGGGAGCGATCAGAACAAAAAGCCAGGTTGAAGCTTCTGCTGTTCCTTATGGCTTTCTAGATTCGCCCCCTGTTCTGCCACAAACCTGTGTGAGCCCAGGGAAATTATCTGCTTTGTATGAGGCCCATGTAAAACAGGAATGATGCTGATGCTTGGGTGCCTAGACAGGCTGGAGGCATTAATGCACAGTAGTGCAGGAACTGGATCTGAAATGTGGGAGATCAGGAAATGTTAGCAGCTTGGAAAACGTCTTCCATAGTTATTTTGGGTGGCAAGGTTGTGTGCCTGTGGGTATTCCTCTGAGTGGGATAAAGAGTACATTGATTTTTCTTTGGAATGAGAGGAAGAAGCAAGACTCCCCGTCCTAGCTCATCATGAGCCTGTACAGCCCTCAGAATCAGCCTTGGTGCAAAGTGCCAGGTGGTTGGAAGATGCACAGCTGTGAACATTCCTGGGTTTCATCTCTTTGTGACCAAGCTGCCTATGTACTGTAGCTAATGGTCTCCAGTTCCCTGAAGCATCTGAGTCTACCCTCTGTGGAAAGTGTTCCCCAGAACGAGGGTATGAGGTGCTCACATCCCTGTGGAACTCTGTCTGAAGGACCCGATGCTTTGTTCTGTGCCCAAGGCACCGTAAGCTCTATTGGTATATCCATGTTTATAAATGGCCATTTAACCTACATCTGCATTATAAACAAATAAAGCCATTGAGGATCTCTTCATGGATCCTTCTTTCTTAAACACCATCACTCACAAGAGCAGAAAGGTGGCAATTTCTTAGCTGGGTGGCCACACAATAGCAGGGTGTCTCTTTCCAGCCAAGAATCTCTGAAGCCAAGCACTGCCCCATACCAACCAAGCCAGGCACGCCGAGCAAACAGCCCAGAGCTCGAGGGGCTGTCACCATTGGAGAGCCTCAGCCACCCAACCAAGCCATACCCACCCCACAAATGTCCCTTCAGCCTCGCACTGCAGCAGCATCCCCGCTGCGGCTGCCCCGTGCTCGCTGACCCCAGCTTCTCCTCCTCCCAGCTTGAGTCACAGCACAGCCACCCAGGGCACTGCCTCTGGGTCCACAGCTATACTTGCCTCTTGATCTGCAGAACCATTTACCCCTTCCAAGCAAAGGGAAATTTCCCAAACACGCCTTTGGGGCCAAGGCATAACATGCATGTTAAAGCTCCCCAACAGGGCTCGCTACCACCTGTTTAGGGGAATCCAGAGAGAGGAAAGCCACACAGCTTCGAGGTGGAGGAATTTGCAAAGCCTCCTGAGAATACCACCACACAGCAGTTCTTTTTTTATCCCAAGTCTTTGCCTTTTCAAACATTTGCTTGGGAAGCCGGATGCCAGCAAGCCTCTGAGCCACGCTCCGAAAGCTCTGCCCGTGCCGCAGTTGCGAGGGGAGTCCCGGGCAGCCCCACGGCTCCTGACATCCCGAGGGATGGACTCCCAGCACGGCCGGACCGCCGGGAGCCCGTCCCATTCCCGTGCGAGCACAGAGCATGCTGCCCCCGTGCTGGAAGGGATTCCCTCCGGCAAACCGCTCAGAATAAACGGACACATGTTGGAAATGAGGCCAGAAATCCCCACGGGGGTCACTGATCCACGGTGCTCTGAGTCTGTTCTCCCTGCTAGCCCTTCGCGTTATTTCCCGAGCGAAGCAGCCGCCACCTCCCTGCCGCCAGCCTGCGAGCGGCTGCTCCCTCCCGAGAGCGGAAAAACCGGGATGCAGCTCTGCTTCTGAGCCCGCGGTTCGCCGGCTGCAAACCCCTCGCTGTCGGCAGGCGGGTGGGTAAAAGTTCACCGTATTTCCGAACAAAGCCCGCTGGGCTTTGGCCGTGGGCAGGAGAACTCCTGGCCGCACCCCCGGGCAGTGTCCTTGTCACCCACCGCCCCAGCCCCTCGCCCCACGGCAGCGAGCACAGCGCTACTTACAGCCCCGGCTGCCGAGCCCCCGGGGGATCGCGGCTGGGTCAGTCCCTCCTGCCGCCTCTGCCCGCTGGGGCGAGCAGCCAAGCCGGCCAGGAGCCTCGCAGCCACTTCCAGACTCGCAGTTTCCTTCTACTGGGAGCTGGTAAATGAAGTTGCACTTGTGGGGCCAAGGGGCGTGTTCTCCTCCCCTCCAGTCAGTCCCTGCCTGCTGTAATCCAATGCTCTGCCCGATGATGTCAAGCAGCTCCCGCTCGGCTCCTACCTTACAGTCGGCAGGAGGGATCCGTTTCCTTTTCACAGCGATCTTTGTTTAGCTTCGGCTTGTAACCCCATCCCCCGGCAGCTGCATGTGCCCGAGCATCCTCCCTTCGCTGCTCAGCGCTGGGGTTTCTGCTGCCGGGCGCTCCCTCCTGCCTGCTGCTCCCCCAGTTTCCCACCTGCATCCCACCCTTTATCCTCTGCACCAGGGCCTGGCCAGAGACACCATCACACCCGTGCAGCCTGAGCTGTCCCACCAGGTGTAGCACAGTGAAAGTGCCTCCCAAGAAAAACCCAGCTTTGTGTTCTTTTGGAGTGCTTCTTGCTCCACTGCCTCCCATGGAGTAAATCCTAGGAGTACTTCAGCTCATCTGCCTCTGCATGCCAGCTGTATTCAGGGCTAGCTGGTGACAGCACCTGGATTTAAGGGGGAAGGTGCAAAGGCAGTACCCCATTTAAAACACACACCTTTGTAGCCACCCTGCTGTGTGAAGCACACCCTGGGAGCTCTCAGGGAGCTCGAGGTCACTACGGAAGAAGAGGAAATTTTGGACGCTCCTGGTACCACATAGACTGAGAAATGTGCCTCTAGCTGGCATCACCTCCTGGTGTCCCACCAGCCTTGCAGACCCCACCAGGTGGCTGAAACCAAGCAGTCAAGGTGCTTGTAATCATCCTCTGGGCCTGAGCTCCTGCCTGGCCCCAGCAGTGTGGAGGGAAGGTGTGTGAGCACGCAGGAATGTGCACGGTGCTGCCTGTGGTGCTTAAATGCTGGCTGGAACAGGACTCCTTAGTGCTCATAGCTTTGCTGAGAGAGTGAAAGATTTGCTCCATCCCTGCTGTAAGAACTCTCAGGTCCTCACAACTCAACTGGGGAGCACAAGGGGTGTTTGCCAAGGAATGGATCCAGTCCCCACTCGAGCTAGGCGAGTTTTTTTTTCATGTTGCATGAAAAATGAGCAGTGTGAGCCAGGAGCACTTTCCCAACTCACTGTCTTGCTGAGCACCAGACAGGCTCAGAAGCTGCATTCTTGCAGCTCTCCCATGACAGACGAGACCCAGAGCCACTCAGTGCCAGGTGAAAAGCATCAGCCTGTCCTCCCAGCCCGGCACCACCCTGCACACTTGGACCTTTTCCACCTCTGCTGCCATCACCACATCCAGCCAGAATCTGTGTGTGGTCAAAAATGTGGTAGTTGCTGTGAAAGATACCCACAGGATCAGAGGAAGAGATAAAAACACCAACAACAGCAGCAAGCAGCACAGGAAACACCCTGATGGCAGTACTGCAGCACAGATGAAGGGGAGTGGACCTCAACAGAGCAAAACACACCCATGCTCTGTGCATCCCTAAACCAACCTTGTGCAGCCTCCTGACTCAACCCAGTTTTAGGTCAAAAGCAGCTCCAGGAAGCCCACTTGATTTCCTGAGGTGCATTGCTTGGCAGAACTCATCTCTCTCCAGCCGTTTTGAGTCACACATGGCTGCTGCTCACCCAAAAGTAGCAGTAAGGGATTCACCACAATGCCCTGCCTGTCTTCATGAGATGCCAGGGAGGGAGGAGGGCCAGCACAGCCTCAGGAGACTGCTGTGCTGGTCTGGCCAAGCCTGCAGTTTTCCCTTTACTCCAGCTTACATTTGAAAGGGATCCAGAAGGTTAGAGCTTCACACTAACACTTGGACCACAGCATTCGGAGGCCAAGTCTGGTAAGAATGCAAGTGCTACACCAGTTACCCAGACATTTCCTTGGCAGAATGTGGCCAGTACCATTACAGAGCAGACAACAAAGAACAATGGCAACAGCCAAGTCCTTTGCAAAGCCAGGAACTCAGTGTATGTACTTCTAAATTAAGACAAGTATTGTCTTGCTCAGAGCTCCCAATCCTGTGTGTGGTCCTGGAAATAAGCTCCCCAAAGCGTCTACCACAAAGTCCATCCTTTTCTGCACGCACTTGTGTGTCCTTACAGGGACTTTCTCATCAAACACCATCCCCTGCAGGGACTAGTCAAACATTTTCCATCAAAACTCTTTTTTAAGTAAAAAAATGCAGGTTTAGTTTTTCTACAGATTTTTTTTTTTTCACAAGTGGGGGAAGGGGTGGCAGTCCCATGATGCCAAAAAGTTTGCCTGAAATCTTAACCTCTTAGGATAAAAATGCATGGCTTTCAGTGCATTCAGTCTTCCTGTTCTTAAGCAAAAGCTGACATTTTACAATAATGCACCCTAACTTCTAGCTGATGCTCGTGCTCACCATCTCCTGTCCTGTTGCTTTGTTCACTACAAGACATTCATCCCGAGATGATAGGCAGATGTTAGAGTTTCCTGGCGTGGCTCACCCTGTGTGATGGATGGTGTCACAGCCTTGAGCTGACTGACTCAGCTGCAGCCACAATTTAGTGGCCCCTGCTTTACTCACACGTTTGTTTTGGTGAGGTTGTTGCATCCATCTGCCTCATCCTGTGCTGTCCTGCGTAGCCCAGGATCGATAGTGATGCCATTACCGCTCTGGACAACTGGAGGTTTGGTTCTGCTGCTTTTGACCTTGCAATTGGTCTGCAGTCAACCATGAATTTTTTAGTTCTGTGCCACAGAGTGGGATGTAGACCAGGGGAAAGCTGGTCTTCTGCTGGCTGGCAGCCCACGCTGTGGGTGCCACCTCTGCTACTCTGGCGCCACATGGGATGGGAGAGCATGGCTCAGGAAGAGCAAGAAGCTGCCCTGCAGGTTAACTGTCAACCTTTAGGTGGAAGAGGGACAAAACCGAAGCAATCTGGGAGGGCAAATGTCAAAATGAGGTGAGAGTATCCCCAGGGGTGCAATGTAAAGAAGCCCAGCCCGAAGCAGCACTGCTGTGCTGGACTGCACGCCGCCTGCAAGGAAAACCACCAGCACAAAGGACACTCCGGGAAGCTCTGGAGGCCGAGGAGACAGGCTGTCACTTCAGAAGGATCTGACCTGCCTCTGACCCGAATGTTTTTGCAGCCTAAGCCTCGCTTCCCCGAGAAGCCCGTGCTGCCAGGGCCGGAGCAGCGCCGTGGCAGCCGCTGGGGCAGCACGAGCCTCCTCACGTAAGAGCAGCTTCCCGCTGCATTTCCCAGGCATTGAGGTCTCCGTGTCACTTGATGTCATCCAGATTGCAAGGAAATGTGGAATGGCACAAGATACGCATGGAAAAAATTGGACAACCTGTTTTTTTTTCCCAGACTTCCTCCCATAAAATAAATACTCTAAATAAACTATTTCTCATCCAAAAAACCCCCACAGAACATATTTCGCTGATGTGCTGGGCTCCCCGAGGCAAGAGTGGATATCCTAAGCCATCAAATAACAGCTTCACTTGGAGATTCATGAGAAGAGAAAACAACAAGTAAAAGCAGCTTTAGTGACAAGCCACTCTTTTTGCTGTTGATTAGGGAATAGAGGGTGGATGTTGGGATGTCTGAATGAATTACCCGTTGTTCTGACCCATTTTGTTTTTATAGAAGTTGCTCATGCAGAAAAGTTCAACAAATGAAACACAGAAAAGGTTGTAATGAGGCTAAACTCATTAGTGACCCCCCTCCAGGGTCACCCCTATTCCCGGGCAGGGTTGTGGAGCTGAGCAGGGCTGTGGGGAGCCCCTCTGGGCACTGGGACCGTGGGGACACCATTGTGGCTGCTGGCATGGTGGCTCTGTGCGGGGCTGGCATTCCAGCAGGGCAAAGCACACTCAGAAAACTGTTTACTTTGAGCTGAAGCTATTTTTAGCTGCACTAATCTGTGCAGAGATGATAAAGCTTTTCATTGCAAAGTGAGTGGCTGTGCTTTGCTTCTGGGCAATTTCACTCCACGAGCTCATCCCTTCCCCCTTCCCGGCCACTTCTTTCCACTGACCTTATCTCCTCTGCCTCTGTGCCAAACACCTCCAAAAAGTTTGTCCCAGCTAGATATGTGGGAGTCTCAGCCCACAACTTTTTTTTTTCCGCTTTTCCCTAGGGAACCGCTTCGGTTTAGAAAACTGAAAACGTTTTTTTTTTCTAAACCGTTTTGGTTTAGAATAAAAATGCTTTGGTTTTTAGAAAAAAATAAATGAGTTTTGTGTTCCAAGGTGTTGGTGGAAGGCATCATGGACATGCACCTTCTCATCTGTCATTTCTGCAAAATCCCTTCTGTCCAAAGGCTCTTGCAAAAGAAGTCACTTGACAGCAAAAGAAATAAGTCAATTGACAATTACCTCTTTGCAGCTGCAACAAATACAAGCAGATCTCCAACTCAGATCTCATTGCAAGCCAGAGTCCCCAGGCAGTGACAGACTGCCTACACCACGTTTCCCCAAGGGGTCCCACAGCCCATTCCAAAGTCCCTCACACACTCTATACGAAGCACTTTACCTGCTGCTGACAGGAGCAAGCACGGCGGCTGGTTCAGGGCACAAAGGCTACAAAACATGCATAAATCCTGCTTGGTCAGGGCTTTGTTTGTCTAAAGGACTCCAGAAGCTTCTCCAGTGTAAACCCACAAAGGTCACACATCCAGCACATGCTTCATCAGAAAATCATCCCTTGTGGTAAAAGCTTTCTTGTCTGGGACACAGAGTGAATAATGTCTCTGTCGGCTCTGAGTGTGTTCAGAGGGGGGAAGAACATGCAAGTATTAATTAAATAGGTTCATCCTGCCTGCTAGGAAGGGTCAGATATACAGAAAAAGCCAAAAATCATTGTCAGGATGAGGAGGTGCAGTAGGAGAGGTATTGCTTAAGCTGATCACGACTGACTGCCCAAGTGTTGCTGGCAGGTAAGCAGGAGATGTCCTGAGCTCCACAAACAGGTACTTCTTCCCTTTGTCCCTCTGATCCTGACAGAGAATGTAGCTGAAGAAATCAAGGAGCAGGCTGAGTTGGCAGCTGTGCTTATCTCTTTTGAAGAGCAAAGGGATTTGCTGATAAATGAGAA